GAACAGGGACGCCATACGGCAGTAGCAAAGCCAAAACGCGAAAACAGAACGTGATCAGGTGGCTCCCAGGCGGAGGAGGTGTTCAGACGTCCGCTCGTCGTCAAGGTTGAACCAAGAGTCCCTGACGTGGGTGGTACAGTGGTTGTCTGCCAATGGTTTGACAGTGCAAACTGTAAGTATTAAATACATTAGTAAGGGTTTAAAATATTCGATTTTCTATAATTGAACTCGTAGAAAATGGTTATTTAAGAAGAATTTACTTTTCAAGATAACTTGTAAGATTTTAGAACTAATTTATTTTGTCGGGGACAGGCAGCCAGTATATATATACATATACATGTAAGGCTTACATCGAGGCACTAACTATCCCCCAAGGTCGAATTACTTACCCTCTAAGGCTAACTAACTCCGACGTGTTCTAGGGGAGTACTGAAGTCATTACACTACTTACTGCTAGGTGAACAGAGCCATTGGGTGATAGGAAACATGCCCAATCATTTCTGTCCCGCCTGGGACTCGAACCCGGAATTCCGGATTGAGAATCAGAAATGAACCCAACTGTACTACGGTACAAAAAAGATATACAGAAGACGGTACAGTTATTGCCCAGTTGTTACGTAAAATACATATTAATAAAGCACTATAGTACGTTACCGTAAAATATCTCAGATATATTATTGATAAGTTTAAGGAGACCAACACTTGAAACTAAATAATAGTTAAGACAACATGAAGGAATTACTGACATACATAGCATATGATAGACAATATTTAGGTGATAATGTTGATAGATGTCTCCCCCCCCCCTTCCCTATTGTTGGTGAGGATATTCCGCGAGATGTTAGCTCTTGGACCCCGCCTCTCTACTCCTCAGTTGTCTAATATACTGACTCCCGACCTATATCTCGTCTATTATATCTACTCTCTCTCTCTCACACACACACACACACACACACACACACACACACACACACACACACACACACACACACACACACACACACACACACACACACACACACACACACACAAGGGGACACAGGTGGAAACTGAGTACCCACATGAGCCAAAGAGACGTTAGAAGGAAATTTTTCAGTGTCAGAGTAGTTAACAGGTGGAATGCATTAGGCAGTGATGTGGTGGAGGCTGACTCCATATACAGTTTCAAATGTAGATATGATAGAGCCCAGTAGGCTCAGGAATCTGTACACCAGTTGATTGACGATTGACGGTTGAGAGGCGGGACCAAAGAGGCGAAGCAGCACCCGCGCCAGTACAAGCAGGCCAGTACACCCAGTTGTGCTTGAGGACCTCCTCGCTGCATGTGAAGTGATGTGTTAGACAGTGATTCCGTTCCACCAGCACCCGGGGTCAACTGGTTCACTTCTGCAGTTCTCCTGTTAACCTGATATGCGTAGTTAACTACGCACCTCGCCCTCCCAGCCCGTTCTCTTCCTTTGCCGCTCCCGCAAAAATCCGACCTCCTAACTTAACCACAAACGCACGCACCCACACAACCCACCAAACCTACCGATCCCGATGCTTATAAAACGCGTAGATATTAGTCGAGTTATGATTTTCCATAGTAGGCTGTATTTCTAACGTAGGTTACTGTAAGGTAAATTATCACTATTATAGTGCGTTACCAAGGGATACCAGGACCAGGAGCTGGGATACGACAACCGTTGTGGATCGAACTCCGACCTGCATGAATTATGAAGTTTTTGGTTGTATACGATACAATGACTCACTGAATAATACATCACAGCTCTCGGACAGTATATATATATATATATATATATATATATATATATATATATATATATATATATATATATATATATATATATATATATATATATATATATATATATATATATATATATGTGTGTGTGTGTGTGAGTATACCTCGAGGACTGGCTATACCAGCTAGTATATAGCATCTAGACTCCTATAGTGGGCTCGGCCTAATCTCATACCCCTGGGTATACCTCAGGGTACACCTCTGGGTATACCTCTGGGTAGACCTCTGTGTATACCTCTGGGTATACTGTTGAAGGGGCCGGGGAGGGCAGTGTTAACGCCGGGTGTAAACTGGGGCGTTTCCGACCTTGACAAACATCTCAGGCGGAACAGGTTGGGCGCGGGAACCCGCTAACCTTGGCCACGATTCAGCAGGTATTTAATGCAACCAGTTACGAAACCTGTACATCTCTCCTTAATCATAGCGCCTTTGTTTACATTTATTGAACAGTAGTAGGAGCCTGGAGACACATGAGACACAAGGAGACACATACGTTAGGTTTAGCCCCCCCCCCCCAAAATGGAGCTACAGATACCCCCCCCCAAAATGGAGCTACAGATACCCCCCCCCCCCAAAATGGAGCTACAGATACCCCCCCCCCCCCTCTCCACCAGGATGCAACCCCCACAACAATTGTCTAACTCCTAGGTACCCACTTACTGCTAGGTGAACAGATGCATCAGGTGGAACGAAACG